TTAAAGTCTATTTTCCGTACGAAACTAAAGGGATAAATGCAAATCTGATTTGAACGGGTATGCTGATCTGATAGAACACCGGCTCCTCTTCTACAAGACTATCTGCTGCAATCTAATATCTACTGACCACAGATCCAAAACTGTGCCAAAAAATGCTCAGATAGCCAAAATGAAATTTATGAACATGTTTGTGTTTCTGTAGGCCTGGTTTCAACCAAACAAGTAGCAGTTCTGCATAATGCATCGCTAATGAAAGCCAGCAACACCGCCAAAGTCAAACTCATTAGCAAAAAGGATCATTTGCAGCTGCCCGCTCAAAACCTTCCTCCAAAAACACCAGAAGAAACAAGCAAAGCGCATAAAATCTGTCCTAGCTTGGCTACTTTTCTCATCAGATGATACTATTATCCGAATAAAGGTCAGTTTGTGGGGTATATCAAACTGCTTATTATCAGCTAAAATCCTCTTCTCTCTGCATTACGGTGCTACAGTAAGACCATAGCTAGAAACTTGCCTGTGCATAGCTAATTCTGTCCATCTCAAATTGGTGCATATTACTGGATTCTGTAAAGCGTAACCTTTCCAAAGAGCTGCGAAGCTCCCTGATTGGACAAACAATTGTTTAGATACGCCCCCATGCTTTCATGCATCTGTCTGCCACTTGGCTTTGTTTATTTAGTGTGTAATTATGGTATGTACATAAAGACAGCTAAAGAAAACATAACACTTGTGGTTGTTTGGGGGTGAGAGTGTATTTTATAACCATTTATAGTACCTTGAGAAAGTATTCACCCCCTTTGAATCAACCTTTCGCCACATTTCAGGCTTCAAACATAAAGATATTAAATTGTAATTTTTTGTGAAGAATCATCAACAAGTGGGACACAATCATGAAGTGGAACAATATTTATTGGATATTTCAAAGTTTTTTAACAAATAAGAACTGAAGAGTGAGGTGAGCAAAATGGATCAGCCCCTTTAATTTTGCACCAGAATTTCCCCAATTGTAGGGACTATAAAGGGATTTACTATTTTATTCTCTATTCTATTCTAATTTCAGTGCAGCAAACTCTCTCTAGAAATTCAGTGAGGATCTCTGAATGATCCAATGTTGACATAAATGATTGATGATGATCAATAGAATCCAGCTTAGTGTAATTAAGTCTCTGTATAAATAAACCTGCTCTGTGATCGTCTCAGAAGTCTGCTTAAATGCAGAGAGCATCGTGAAGAACAAGGAACACACAAGATAGGTCCCAGATACTGTTGTGGAGAAGTTTAAAGCTGGATTTGGATAACAAAAGATTTCCTAAGCTTTAAAAACCCAAGGAGAACTGCGATGGAAGGAGTATCAAACCAATGTGGATCTACAAAGACCTGGCCGTCCCACTAAACTTTCTGCTCAAACAAGGAAAAGTCTGATCAGAGATGCAACCAAGAGGCCCATGATCACTCTGGATCAACTGCAGACATCTACAGCTGAGGTGGGAGACTCTGTCCATAGGACAACAATCAGTCGTCTATGGCAAAGATCTGGCATTTATGGAAGAAAGACATTTCTGAAAGGTATCCATTACATGTCTTGTTTTAAGTTAGCCACAAGCAACCTGGGAGGCACAGCAAACATGTGGAAGGAAATGTTATGTTTGGCGTAAAAGCAACACAACTCATCACCCTGAACACACCGACCCCACTGTCAGACACGGAGGTGGCAGCATCATGGTTTGGGCCTGCTTTTCTTCAGCAGGGAAAGATAGTTAAAATTGAGGGGAGGATGGATGGAGCTAAATACAGGAGCATTCTGGAAATAAACCTGATGGAGTCTGAAAAAAGACTTGAGACTGGGACGGAGATCCAAAACATGAAGCAGAATCTGCAATGGAATGGTTCACACATAAACATATCCAGGTGTTAGAATGGCCTATTCAAAGTCCAGACCTGAATCTAATCCAGAATCTGTGGAAAGAACTA